TACATCAAAAAAGAAGAAAGCCAAAATCAACACTTTAAATCAACATCTCCGATTAGAAGAACAGCAAAAAAAGCTGACAGTCACCAGAAGAAAGGAAATAAAGATTGAAGCAAAAATCAATGAAACAGAAAATAGAAAGACAATAGAAAAAGCAACAAGACTAGAAGTTGTTTTTTGAAAATCTAAATAAAATTGACAAACCACTGGCAAATTTAACAAAGCAAAAGAAGGAGAGAATGCAAATCACAAATAAGAAACAAAATGGGTGACACCACAACAGAACCAACTGAAATAAAAAGGATAGTATCAGGATACTATGAAGAACCGTACTCCAACAAATTTGAAAATCTGGAAGAAATGGATAGATTTCTAGAAACACACTACTTACCTAAAATAACACAGACTGAGGTAGAAAAGTTGAACAGATCCATAACAAAAGAAGAAATTGAACAGGTCATAAAAAAATTACCAACAAAAAAAGTCCTGGCCCAGACGGTTTCACCAGAGAATTCTACCTAACATTCAGAGCAGAAATTATACCAATCCTACTTGGGAGGACGGAATCCTTTCAAATTCACTTTATGAAGCAAGCATAACCTTGATACAAAAATCAGGCTAAGATATTACTAAAAAGGAGAACTATACACCAATATCCTCATGAATATAGATGAGAAAATCTTCAACAAAATCCTAGCCAATAGACTCCAATAGCATATTAAGAAAATAATTCACTATGACCTAGTGGGGTTCATATCGGTATGCAAGGATTGTTCAACATTATAAAAGCAATCAATGTCATCCACCACATAAATAAAACAAAGAAGAAGAACCACATGATCATATCAATTGATGCAGAAGAGGCATTTGATAAAATCCAACACCCATTCCTGATCAATACTCTCAGCAAAATAGGAATAGAAGGGACATTCCTCACCATAATAAAGAGCATGTATGCAAAACCAACAGCCAACATTATTATCAATGGAGAGAGACTGAAACCATTCCCTTTGTGAACAGGAACCAGACAAGGATGTCTGCTATCACCACTTCTATTCAACATTGTACTGGAAGTCCTAGTCAGGTCAATAAGGCAAGAAAGGGAAATCAAAGGCATCCAAATTGGTAAGGAAGAAGTCAAACTACCCCTATTTTCTTATGATATGATCTTATACCTAGAAAACCCAAGAGACTCAGTCAAGAAGCTCCTGGAACTAATTGAGAGAGTTAGCATCATAGCAGGATATAAGATCAACATCCAAAAATCAGTTGGATTCCTCCACATGAGCAAAGAGATTGCTGAAAAAGAAATAAGGAAATCAATACCATTCACAATTGCTACCAAAAATATAAAATATTTGGGAATAAATCTTACCAGGGACACAAAAGACCTATATAAAGGAAACTATAAAACACTGCTTCAAGAAGCCATAAGAGATCTACATAAATGGAAGAACATATTATGCTCATGGATAAGAAGACTGAACATTGTGAAAATGTTAATTCTACCCAAAGGAATCTATACATTCAATTCAATCCCAAACCAAATCCCATCAACGTTCTTTACAGATATGGAAAAATCAATCACTAACTTTATGAAGAAATGAAAGAGATCTTAGATAAGCAAAGCATTACTGAAGAAAAATGAAGTAAGAGGTCTTACATTCCCATATCGTAAAGCCTACTATACAGCCATAGTAGTCAAAACTGTCTGGTATTGGTACAATGACAGACACATCTCCACTGCCATTGAGTAGGATCCGACTCATAGCAACCCCTCCTTGGGTTTCTGAGGCAGTATCATTACAGAAGTAGATTGCCCAACCCTCGTTCTGAGGAGTGGCTGTTGGGTTTGAACCGCTAGCCTTCTTGTTAGCAGTCAAATGCCTTAGGCACTATGCCACCAGAGCTCCTACCAATGGAATAGAATTGAGAACCCAAAAATAGATCCATCAGCCTATTTGGTCAGCTGATCTTTGACAAAGGGCTGAAATCCATTAAATGGGGAAGAGATTATCTATTTAACAAATGGTGTTGGCAAAACTGGATATCCTTTTGCAGAAAAATGAAACAAGATCTGTACCTCACACCATACATAAAATCTACCTCCAGATGAATCAAAGATTTAAATGTGAAACCTGAAACTATAAAGTTCCTCAAGGAAAAACTAGGGGCAAATTTAGGAGCCCTAATAGATGGCATAAATAGATTATCAAGCATAATCCAAAATGCACAAACAGCAGAAGATAAACTAGATGAATGGGACCTTCTAAAAATTTAATTTTTATGTGCTTCCAAAGAGTTCCCCAAAAGAGTCAAAAAGGAACCTATGGATTGGGAAAAATTATTTGGCAATGAAGTATGTGATAAGGGACTTATTTCTAGAATTTATAGAAAACTCCAACACCTTAACAGCAAAAAGACAATCCAGTTTAAAAATGGGCAGATGACTTGAATAGATGCTTCATCGAAGAGGATATTCAGGTGGCCAACAAACACGAAGAAATGCTCATGATCTTAGCCATTATTGTTGTTGTTATGTGCCATCGAGTCGGACTCGAGTCATAGAGACCCCTCCTTGGGTTTCCAAAGTGGTATCACTACGGAAGTAGGTTGCTCAACCTCCCTTCCAAGGAGTGGCTGGTGGGTTTGAACCGCCAGCCTTCTGGTTAGCAGTCAAGTGCCTTAGGCACTACACTACCAGAGCTCAAAATGACAATGAGATACCATCTTGCCCCAGCACTAGTAGCAAAGTTCAACAAGACAGAAAATAACAAATGCTGGTGAGGATGCAGAGTTATTGGGACTCTCATGCACTGCTGGTGGGACTGTCAAATGGTACAATCATTGTGGAAAGCAGTATGGTGATTCCTTAAAAAATTGGAATTAGAAACACTATTTGGCCCAGCAATTCTATTACTAGGTATATAGCCTAAAGAAGTGAGAGTGAGGACAAGAACAGATATATGCACACCCATGTTCATCACAGCACTATTTACAGTAGCCAAAAGATGGACAACCTAGATGCCCTCAACAGAAGAATGGATAACCAAACTATAGTACATACACACAACGGAATACTATGCAACCCTAAAGAAAAATGTAGAATCAGCAAAACACTGCATAATATGGATGAACTTGGAGAACATTATGATTAGTGAAATAAGTCAATCACAGAAGGACAAATATTGTATTAATCCATTACTGTAAAAAGTCAAGGAAAGGTTTATATATTGAAGGAAATTTTCTTTGTTAGTTACCAGGGTTGGGAGGGGAGGGTAAGGGTGGGGAGAGAACCCTGTTAGATTGGTAGAGACAAGTATTGATTTGGGTGAAGAGAAGGGCAACATATCAAATGTGAGTAATCAACATGGTGGCACTGAGGAAGAGGAAGACATAGAGAGGTGCAGGGGAGGTTCAGACAACAAAGATGAACCCTTCCACACATACAGTACTGCCATTGTAAGTGAAGGCAAACATTGATATGTGGGAGGATAGATGGGTTTATAAGCTGAACTATTAAGTATGTCCATGTAGTGGAAGTATGCCCAAGACCATATATAGCGTTGGCAGACAATGTTTCTACAAGTGTATTGGTATGTTCTGTAAGAATTTCCAGGTATATAGTAGAGCTGACAAGGGGCAAGAGTGTAGTGACTTCTTGTTCACAGCCAGCTAGCTACCCAGAGGTAGTGAGTAGTTGGACCTGTGGGCTCAGGACCATGGTCATAGGGGACATCAAGCTCAATTGGCATAGCATACTACACAAAAACACTGTTCCACATCCTATGTTGGTGAGTAGCAACTGGAATTTTAAAAGCTTGCAAGTGGCCATCTAGATGCAATGATGGGTGTCTCCTTATCCAGAGCAAAGAAGAATGAAGAAAACCAAAGACACATGGAAACAATTAGTCCAAGTGACTAGTATACCATGTGGTCTTCAGACTGTATGACTATGAGACCAGAAGAACTAGATGGTGCCCGACTACCACTGTCAAGCACTCAGAGGCGGGGATCTATGTAGGAGATCCTAGATAGAGTGGGAGAATAATGTGGAACAAAACTCAAAATCATAAAAAAAAAAAAAGAACCAGGTTTGCTGGTCTGATAGAGCATGATGGAACCATTGAGACTATGGCCCCTAGCTGCCCTTTAGGTCTGGAATTGAACCCACTCCTGTGGCTTCTAGCCAAACAAAAGACAGGCATATGAGCTAAACAGTTACAATAGGCAGATACCCTCCTTGGAGAGATAAATTTTGGGAGAATAGAAGGGCTGTGCATGCACAGGGAGACAGCTAGTGGGCAGGCAGGTGTGTATGGGATGAAAGGACACAGGGAAGAGATAATTATGGTGAGGAAGTGGAAGAGGAGCTATTGCATGGTAAATTGTAATCAATGTCATGAGACAAAGTACATGTGAGCTGCTGTATGGAAAGTGAATTTGCTGTGTAAACTTTTACCCAAATCACAATAAAAATTTAAAAAAAGAAAGAAAACTTCAGAGGAATTCCCCAGTAGAGTAAGATACAAGATAAGGATGTCCTTGTTATCATTTTGAATTATAATTTTACTTCAGTTCTTTTCCAATGCACTAGCATTTCTTTCACAACATTAAGTCAATATAATTTAAAATTAATACATATAATGTAAAATTGACATATGGGATTTGTTAAACAAAAAATTATACTCACCCTTTTAATATTTGTCATGATTTTTTCTCTTAATCCAAGAAGGATCTTTTAGAATCAAAATGTTTGATAAATATTTATCAAAAGTTTACATTTTTTTTTTAAAAAAAAAGGTCTAAAGATTTTTAGAGGTTTTACCCATTTTCAAATAGCTTTCTGAGTCCATCTAATTATATTTTAATATGATTTTTATAGTAAGCAACTACATAAAAAAGAAATATAAGGCAATAAAAACACAAAGGAAAGAAAAATTAAGAACAATTTTGGCCATATGAAGCTAACTATATTATCAGGCTACTAGAATTTCTAATACCTGAGAGAATTCTCAAAGAACTGCTAAGGCTGATGGGCCATCCATCTTTAAGCCAGGTTATTGAAGGTAGGGGAATTCCTGAAGCTTCACAAGTTAGGGACACTGAGTTTTTTTCTATCACACTGATATTTTCAGGCGTCCCATGGTTCCCTATGATGCTTGGAGGGGCTGTAAGTCAAAACAAAACAAATAATAAATGGAAAGAAATGTAGTCGATACATATCAAAAAACAAATACAAGACAGCTCATTGTTACTTATAAGACTTCCATTTTCTGGTGAATAGTAAGCTGACACTTCTTCCCCACTATTAGCACTACATAACTTTTATGTTCTTATTCTAGTAGTGGTGAATGTTCTTCCATGGGTCACTCGTCTTTTCTGGTAAATTTTTAATATAAATTCATGACTTTCACATTATAGGCAGGATTTTCTAATGACCAATTCTAATCCAAAGAGTTTAAGCTAATCTAGTGAATAGATACTGAAGATTGATTCCTTTTCTCTTTCATCTTCTGATTCCTTTAGCTTTGACTCACACATTGGTTGCAAACTACAGAAAGTTATTTGGTTTTGTGTATGTCTTAAACGGACTCAAGTTGTAAGATCTGTTTCCATTAAATTTACCATTGGTTCTATAGATTTAAACATTGCAGTTTAATTTGGATACATCCAGTTAGGTGTCTCTGAGCACATATATTTTTGGTCTTTCCTATTTTTATATGTATTTGTGGCTTCTTACTTAAAATATTAGGAGCTCTGGTGGCATAGTGCCTAAGGCATTTGACTGCTAACCAGAAGGCTGGTGGTTCAAACCCACCAGCCACTCCTTGGAAGGAAGAT